GGACATCCACCAACCAGAGGAAGGAGAGAATGACAGAGTAAGATTCAGATAGCAAGGTGGATGGAGGATTTGGAGCCATGAGGAGGTGGTAGGGAGAGAGATTACAGAAACACACCTGAAGTTCAAAGAGCCAGACTAATAGTCATAGGCAAGTATCGTGGGACAGGACTAAGAGGTAGCCAGATTAACACAGGCAGATCATGTAACTGCTTATCTTTTGAGGTGCAGCTTTAAATAAATAGTTTTTTTTTCTGTGTGATTATTGATTAATAGTGTAAAGCAAAGAAATGCAGCCCTAGGATTAATTTACTGCTACATTTATATTCATGACATCTCATTTACACTGGAGAATGAGTCTGACTGGTGTTGGCCATAGAGGGTCCCTGTCCCAAGTAGCACTGTGAGCACCAGCGTGCAGAGCTTCCCAAGTCAGCCTAGTGGGTCGATAACACCGCAGATCAGCTCCAGTGAGCATCCCTGCTCCACTCCCAGAAGGACCCCTTGGCAGTTCACGCTCTCCCCTCCAGCTTCTTAATGTTTCGCAGATGGTCACACAGTGAGCAAGAGAGAGGCCATTTCCCCTTTGGCTCTGTCCTCCCTAGCGCTACAACAGCTGCTCCACGAGCGAGCTCCAGAGCCTTTGGCCAGAGTGAGACCAGGAGTGGGCACGGGCAGAAAGGAGCCTGGATGTGAATGTTCTAGAGCAGCAGCTCTCCACCTGTGGGTCATGACCCTTTGGGAGGGTCAAAAACCCTTTCACAGGGGTTGTCTAAGAGCATTGGAAGACACCAATATTTATATTATGATTCATAACAGTTGCAAAATTACAGCTATGAAGTAGCAACAAAACTAATTTTATGGTTGGAAGGTCAATATGAGAAACTGTACTAAAAGGTTGAAACACTAAGAAGGCTGAGAACTGCTGGTCTAGAGCATCATGCTCTGAATATAACGTGTCTCCCCTCAGTGTTGAAGGCATGATGGTCAGTGGGTGTTGATGTTTAGAGGTGATTGGATGGGGAGCCACTATGCTCTGACTTTGAAAGCCCCCTCATCTGAGGTCCATATGTCAAGTGTACAGCTGCCACCTGATACCTCTGGAGGGAGCTGCCTTTCACAGTGGATTATTCATGGGAAGATTCACAATCTGATAGCAGGATTGGGGGAGTGGTAGAAACGAAGATATGGGGCCTAGATGAAGAGAAGAGGTTGTTGGGTGCTGTCCTTGGAGCTACATATTATCCAGAACTCCTCTCTGCCTCTCTGTTTCCTGGCTGCCAGCCATGAACCAAAACCCTGAAACCATGAGCCAAAATAAATCTTACTTCTTTTAAATGGCTTCTTTCAGAAACCCATCACAGCAGAAGGGACAGCTACTAGCCACAAACACTGAGTTTGTTAATGAGTTATGCCAGTAGTGAGTTGATACTCAACAGGAGGTGGGACCTGGTTTCAGAAAGGGTGTCATCAAGGAATTGCCCTGGAAGGGTATTTTCTGCAACTGCTATCTCTGTCTCTTCTTTCTCTCTCCCTCCCCAAATATCTGTAAGCAGTAAGGATGGCTGACTCAGACACTGTCCAACCTATTGAGCTGCCTGCAGGCTGTGCAGTAAACCCCATGTTCCTAGCTTCACCCAGGAAAGGGTGGCCTTTTGATGATGCAGCTGTGTTTGACACATTTCTGTCCCTGTATGTAACCCCTCACTCACTCGAAGTCCAGTAAGTAAACCCAGTAAAACTCACTAGTTTGTCAACTGGACTTTGTCAGTGTCTAGGTGGATTTTCATTGCTTTGACAAAGCACCATAACCAAAAGCAACTTGAAAAAGGAAGTGGTTATTTGATTTACAAGTTACAGTCCATTAGGGGAGGCCAGGTCTGGAACCTGGAGGCAGGGGTGGAAGCAGAGACCATGGAAGGGTAGCTTCCTCAGCTTGATTTCTTATATAATCCATGGCCCACAGGTAGCACCCTCCTCACTGGCTGGCCTTTCCTCCATCAATCATTAATCAAGAAAACGCCCCACAGACTTGCTACAGGCAATCTGATAAAGGCATTTTCTCAACTGAGGTTCCTCTTCCCAGATTAACTCTAGCTTGAGTCCGATTGACAACTAGGCTGGACAGATGGAATCTGTACTTTGATCTGTTTTCAGTAACCTGTCTGAGGTGAGTAGAGACACTTGTTCTTATCTCCCTGGGACAATGTCACACAACGCCCTCTCACAGACCTAAGAGCTAACCCCAATGACATCTTGATCTCAGATGTCCAGCCTTCAGGATTAGATGACAATTAGTTTCTCATTAAGGCCCAGGCTATAGTGGTTCATTCTAACAAGTCTAGGATGCTGTGGTGATTCATGTGTATTAGTAACTTGACTGGGTGGAGACACATCTAGTCTGTGAGAATATCTCACTGAGAAGACCCATCCTACAGGTGGGCAGCAATGTCCCCGGGGCACCAACCCTAGACAGGAAAGGCAGAAGCTTCTTTCTTCTTCCTGACTGCAGGCGACCAGTGGGCAATCCCATGCTTTACAGCTCACGTTACACCACCACCTGGTGTTCAACACAGCATTAGTGCTTGAATGTTTGGTTTATTCAGGTTTGCTCAGGTCTAATTGTCCCTTGCTGTGTCTCCTAATCTTGTATGTTGGGAGTATGGATTTCCCCCGGCCCCTTATTTTTTAAGGGTTCACAGATGATTTCTGCCTTGGGTCTCAGAAGAGACTTTGAATTTGGGCTATCAATAAACATGTTGGGGACTCAAATCGATGGACTGAATGAACACATTTGGTTCATCTCTCAAGGTGGAAGGTTATAGTTAGAATGTGTTTGAAAATCTAATTGGCAGGGCATAAGGCACACTGGGGGAGTGTGTCCGTGTTTCAGATCATTGCTTTGTTTGCACACTGACCCAATCTATAGATTCCTGCTGGATTTCTGACATGATGGCACAACTGTGAGGGGGTAACAAGCAGGAGGAACAAACTGACAGGAACCAGGCCACTGGAGGCATGCCCATGAAGCTGTCCATTCCTGGTGCCTCTCTGTAACCCTTTCTCTGCCTCTTGACTGCCACGAGATGAGCTAAGACACTTTGACTCCCTGCCATGATGACATCACAGGGCAAGAGAAACAGTTCCTGATTTTAAGTTGCTTCCGTTATGTATTGTGACCACATGTCTACAGGAGAGAATGCATCTGTCCGGCATCAAGCCCCATCTTTGGATAGTTATGACATGTTTAACTCATATGCTGGCTTGAAAACTATTTATTATTGCTATTTCTTAGGAACACTAACCAGGGACATGAAGCACCCACCTACTCATTTGCCCTCACCTCTTTCAGGTCTTGATAATTTCATATTAACTTTATTCTTTTGTTGTGGCAATTTTCTCTTTTGTGCTACCATTATCAGCCTGCAATTTATACAGGTGAGGGCTATAGACTTTTTTTTCCATATTAATTTGATCTGTAGCTACTTTGGATTTTTTTTCAAAACAAATTCAATTTCTCAATATACAGCCAAAATTGCTGAATCCAGGGTTTAAAGACATTTAAATCCTCATGTTCGTATCTTCAAAGTAACAAGGTATAAGCTACTCAGATGCTCAACACACAGACGGAGAAGCAAAGTGCAGCCCACCAGCAGACTAAAAAGGGATTTCTTAAACAAGCTGCATGAACGGACATTGAGGACAGAAAAGCCACAACATCCTGTATGATTCCTTACCCATGAAACCCATTCTGAGTAGAAGGGCAGCTGCGGGGAGAATGGTGTTTAGCGGGGACAGAGCCTAGATCTGTCTGTTGAGATTGCTGTCAACACACAGCCTCAGTCTGATGAACAGGATGAAAAGGGTTCCTGTGCCATGCAGGGGCTCAGAGAACAGGACAGGGACTCTTCACTGGTCCATCAGTAAACCTCCTCCTACGTGCTTCCTCAGCTTATGGTGTGAGAACCAGGACTTTAATTTTATTTTATTCAAACACTTTCTTCTTGACTAAGTCCACAGGTTTCCGTACTTGTTAGCAGAATAAACCATGGCGAGCTCTCGTTCCTTAGCCGTGACTCCAAGCTGAAGGACACGCAGGCCCTCACCAGAGCAGGGTGGGTGTCCACTCACAGCGGTCCACCCTGCAGGCAAAAGGACCCGTATTTTTACTACTGGCTAGTCAGAAGGACTGGAATGGCCACACTCCAGAACACATCTTAGGATCTGTGGCTGGACAAGGTCTTCTTCCTGTTCAAGCAATGGGAGCTTCCCCAAGTCTCTTCCTGTTGTCAACACACAGCCTTAGCCTGATGGACAAGGCACGGGACCAGCAGGGCAAGGCTGCATGTGCACCTGCCTTGGCCACACTGACAGCCGCTGGCTGCTGAAGGTCGGGACCAGGTGTGACAAGCACTCCCTTCTCAAGAAAGTCAAGGGGCAGGCAAGACCACTACTGTACAGAACAGTAGTTGGCCCAGGCAAGGGGAGAGATACACAGGGAGGGGGAAGGGAGAAGACGCAGCCTAGGATGAAACCTTCGGCCCAACAGGCACAACAGTCTGGTTTCTCTCTTTGAACAGTATCCAGAAGCAGGACAACTTTATGATGCCTCAATCTCCAGACAGCAAGATCTGCATGAAAGCGAGCTAGCAGCTCTGGGGGGTGTTACGGCCACTGCCTCCATGTCCATTCGGGCTCTGAGCAGTGGCATGACATTCATCTCTTGCCAGTTGTAACCATTCCCTGTAAATGGGCTAATAGCTCTAAGGAGAGACAAACTCCCCGACCACAGCAACACCCTGTCATCAGCCGGTCGCTTCCAGGTCTCTGGAACTCAAGAGTGTTGTCCAGTTTCCTGATTTCATGGTTCCATCAAGAGCCACTGTGCCACAGCTTTGGGCTGTGCTGAGTGCCGTTCTCCCCAGTTCCATTCATCCAGGGTCAATCACTGCCCAGAGCACTGTGTGGGGCGGAGAGACGCAAAAGGAAGTGAACTCTCCAGAGCCAGGAAAGCCTCTAATATTTTATTGACAGAATTTGTGGTTACAGTACAGCGGAAACACATGTTCTGCTCTGAAAGCACACAAATGATACACACAACAGTACATTTCTTTTCCTCTACATCACAACTACTCTTCACATACACAGCCTGCAAGAGCTCCCACGTGGGTAATGCAAAGGGTAACCGGAGTAAAGCACGGCAGTGTCACTCTCACGGGAAGAGCACGGGGCTGGCAGAAACAGGGAGGCCAGAGGAAAGCAAGGTGGTGTCTCGTGGTTGCTAAGCAGCCAGCGCACTCCCAGCAACACAGCCTGCACTCCAAGCTGCCTGCACAGCAGGGAGGCGCACATACATTACAGGTCGATGAGGGCCACATCAGCAAGGGCAGTATAACGGCCACACGGCCACCAATTCCAAGCGAATGAGAGCACGCTACCACTAACACTGACCCATGCCCCGGGTCCTGCAAAGGTAGAGGGGTAAAAACAGAGAGGGGTGGTTAATGACATGCAGACCACAGCTGAAAGGCACTGGCATCTTTAACCCAGAATCAAACTGCAAAATAACAAGCAAAAGGTCAAGCTCTCCAATTCAGGTTCTGGAGGAGCAAATCCCAAGGAAAGACCTGTCAAGGCAAAAGTGTTAGAGAAGCTGCACATGTGGCCCTGGGGCAGACGTCCACAATGTCCCTCCTGCCAGAGGGGGCCTGACTCAAGCCACCGAAGGGGTGGAAGCCATACAAGTAGAGGGAAAGAACATGCAAACAGGGACTCACTGGTGTGTGTGTGTGTGTGTGTGTGTGTGTGTGTGTGTGTGTGTGTGTGTGGTGGGGGAACAGTGACAACACCTCAGGTGTCAACAAGACAGAAGAGAAGCAGAAGGCAAGGAGGGAGTCAGAGTCCCAGCCAGGGCAGGGGAATGGGCCACATAGTGAGATAAGAGAACAGAACGTCAGACACTCTTAAAGGGAAAGGAAAGCATGGGGCTCTGCTGCTGCACCTGAAAATTAAACACCAGGATTAAAGTCTGGGAGGGAAGTCCTCACAGAGGACACAGCTCAGCATCCGGATTCCGCACCTGAAAGTAAAGAACAAGTGGTTATCTGCTCCTCAGCGGCCAGTCAGCGTGGGCTGGGTGCAACCCGCTGTGTACAATGTGTGTGCTCTAAGACATCAATGCAGAATGCGTTAGTCCCCAAACCAGCCTCTGCTGTGCATGTCCTTGAAATAAAAAGTAGTTTAGCAGAAAGTCATGTAAGAAAGGCAAGAGGCCTACTGCCTAGAGCATATTAAACTTTCCAACACAGAACACAGCAACATGCACCTGTCTGTCCATCCAACCTGTGACTCTTAAGAAAAACGACAGGAGGTTCTCTCTAAATCACCTACAATTTCCCACAAACCTTTCAAATATCATTAAATAGAAGCAAGGAGCACACTTAACAGCCTCGTCTACTGTCCGTCTAAGGGGAAAGGAGAGTCCTTTCAGTGCAAGGACCTGTCTTCTCAGTTGTCCTACCACGTCGTGTTCTAAACGACAGACAGAGGTCTCTGGTCAGCAGCTTCTAGGAAAATGAGGTAAGGTACCTCACAAGTGTCCCTTCTGACACCTGACACCAGCAGGAGGTATACCTGGGATCCAATATGAATCAGTGGGTTGCTCTGGTCCTAGTACACAAAGCCATGGGTTTGTGTACCTAAGAAGTGAGGCATTTTAAATGACAAAAACTAAATAGGTTACAAAAAAACCTTACAGGAAATCCTTAGGATTTAATAAATCAAGGCTAAATGCCTTTCCAAGTTTATATTTAAAAATATAAAAAGAAGACTTCATCATAAACTTTAAAATACCGCAGCCATCATTGCAGAATCATTAAACTTGGTGAAGTATCTAAGGCTCTCCCATAACTGAGCTAAGCTCCTAGCGGCTTCCTCTGTGTGTGTGTGTGGGGGGGGGGGGAGGTCTTGCTCTTGTCTACCCTGTGCCCCGTTATCTCCTCCGCACATCGAGGTATACAACCCCCTGACCTCTTCTCCCTCTCTGAGTAACGAAGCGACTGGGCATGAGAGTAAGGATGCAAAGCCAGAGCTGGGGCCAACAAGCAGGGGGTCAAAGTTAAAGCTAACTCTCAGGAAGGGGAACACCAAGCCACAGAGCTCCCCCAGTGTGGCCCACAGCTCTAGCACAAAGAAGTGCTTCCTGACTCGTGCATTTTGTCTCAGGTCAGAGGACACAGAGAAGACCCTCAGAGCACCTAATGATGACCAAAACCAATACTTAACTACTGCATGGGCCTCTCGGGCTACTGCTCTTAGGTCGTCACTAGGACCTATCTCTGACTGGTGTCAGTCAGTGGCCTGCATCGAGCTTACCTTCCTAATAATGCCACAGGGAAATAAAAGACGAACAAACGAAAAACAAAAGACAGAAGACAGGGATAGTCTTTAAGCTTAGTTCTCCTTCACCTAGCTTATGTCACCCCAAGAATTCCCTCACATGCCCATCTGTGGGCCTCTACACCTGAGTGAAGGATCATCCTCTGGGGGTCCCATCAGAGGTATGCATCACTGACATTCCATCCTGTAAGTCTCTCCTCATCCACTGGACCACTGCCCAGTCCTCCCTCCCATGCCTTCCCTACCAGCCTCCATGAGCAGCAAAGCCTTCTACCTGCTTCAGGCAGAATGCTGCTTGGTGGGGGAAAAAAAATGACCAATGGGTGCAGGACCTAAGCTCCATCCTGATTCAGACAACCATCTCAGATTGTTGCATATCACATGAGAACTACCCAGATGAAAATGGAAAGCCCACCTCCCACCCCCGATCCAGCCACACTCCTCCACAGCAAGCCATGGGCACAGGACCTGCACAAGAAGCTGCCTGTTTGGATTGGGTGGGGGTCATGGTGGGAGGGTTGCCTCAGAATCTTTTTTGAAAAAGAAAAGGTGAGATTTCCCCCTCAAGAAGAGTATCAATAAGGATTTAACAAATGTGGCCAAGCCAAGGGCAGCATAAGGTTACGTTCAGGTAAGCAGCCGAGTGACTCACATTCATTACAGCACAAAATAAACATGGCAGAGAAAGGGAAGTACCTTGTCCCTGCCCCTACTATCTACCTCAGGACAGATGTGAGAGTCAGTCCTTCAACCTTCTGGAACTTGTGAACAAATAATACACAGATGAGGGTTAATGCATTGACTTACTACCATCTTTATGAAAATCAAATGTACACACAACAACAATTATGAAAGTGTCTCCATTAAACTTTGATAAGACAACAAAAAAGAACTAACAAATAGCTAAGATGTTGCTGCTTGAGTTGAAAGCATTTCCATTAACGTTTTAATCTGAAAAGGTCCATATTTACACAGTATACTAATGCTTTTCCATCTCATTTTAAATGCATGATACACAAAGAACAGAGATAATGGTTGCAGCAGATCTTCCACGGTCTGACTTCACTGTGAGAAGGGCACTGCAAGTGGGGGCGCTCTTTCTAATAATTCTGCTTCTTTCACTTTCAGGGGTTTCCGTCACAGAAGCCACGCCTTTAGGACTGGCTTGCCTGGTCTGACAGCCCACTCCAAGTCAACGTGTAGCAAGGTGTTCTAAGCAGTGCTTGGAGCCGCTCTCACAGGACACTGCTCATGTGCGCACAGTTAAGAGACACACATGCTCTTGGGGATCTCATCACACTCTAAGTGGCCCTGAGACCCTCGGTGAACAGTGGTGCTGATGAGGATGTTTCCTTACCTGACTTCAATGCTTCAGTGCCTACTTTTCAGACAAAAATGCATAATTGGGTTTTAAAGGCCCAGCACTCAAAACTATTTGAAAAAGCAGTGAAATTGTTAAATTCATTTTACTGTGTCCTAACCCTCAACCTCCTACATAGCGTCTATCTTGTCCCATGAGAGCTAACATTACCAAGCTCACGAATCTGACAAAGTATCTATCAACATTTCCTGCATCCAAGTGAAATGAGTGGGACTGAGAGTGGGGCGACCAGTTGAAAGCACTTGGATGGATGGGCTAGGGCCGACTCAGCTGGGTACAACCCCTGCAGGGCTGGCCCTTAGTGCACCAAGCAGGGGTGAGGCAGAGGCTTTGTGGTCAGAGGTGGCACCATACCACAAGGTCTTCTAAGACACAGCTCAACTGCCTGGAACCCAGACAACAACTGTGTCCCCGGTGCTCCTCACCGGCACATCGTGTCAGCTCAGAATCACCCTATGCAAAGGTCCTTGGGGCCTGGAATACCATCCTTCAGCTGTCACAACACTGGCAACCTAATTGAAAACGTAATGTAAAACTTCAGCTGTGGAAGCCAGCTGCTTCCAGTCCTGCGCTTAACTCCTTCCTTATTACCCAGCGACAGTAGATGACAACAGACTTCTGTCTCCCTCCATCCTACTCAAATACGTGAGATAAAACCACAGGTATAAAATACAACTAAAAAGTCCTGAGTGTGTCCTAGTGTCAGTTCATTCTAAAGTCTGACCCAAACACTGAAGCTTTCTTTCATGGGAGAAACATAATAAGGCACTGTGTTCAATGTCTGCCCCGCATGGACTCCAAGGGATGCTTTGTAGAAAGCAAGTCTCACCTGTTGGGATCAACCAAAATGACTAATGTGGACAGATACACTTATCTTGGGCAGCATCAACCCTGCTGAGAAATCCATCCCTCACACATGTGATAGAAGGGCAACCCAAAAGAAACTCAAGAGCCCTGAAGGACAGTGAGGCAATCAAAGCAGTGACAGACAGCACACGCCACAGAGCTAGGGCATTTAAAGCAGAGAAGCTCAAGCAGGTCTGACCACCCTTCAAGCTGTGCCTCAATCTATGCCAGGAAACTAGGCCAAGAGGGCTGCCTGTAGGGTGGCAGAGCCACTGGCTCTGGAGTGCCCTGTGCTTGCCTAGCTAGCACTGTGCCCATCTGAGAGTTTCTACTGAAACAGGTGGCACTTTGGAGGTATTTACAAGAAGCAGAATTGCCACTTCCATGGCACCATTCCCAGACACCCATCTCACACCCTGGCTTTCCAGGGCAGGTGAGTGTCAATCATAATCACCCATTTTTACCTATGTTTTACCAGAGCCTGTGAGGGCTTTCTGAAACCACTCCAGTTAAGCCTGGTTGAGAACTCTTTCCTAGCCTGTACTGAAGATAAGTGCAACCATTATCAAATATTCTTTGCTGTGGAAAAAGATCCTTGGAATTTGAGCTGGTAACGTTCTTTTCTGAATCTAAAACTCTGTGACCAATCACACAGCAGGATCACGAAGAACAAGGTCTACATGCATTATAAGCACTTGGAAACAAAAGAACACGAGAACAGAGTTCTTGTGGACAACAGAATTCAAAACAATCTAACACCAGACTCCAATCCCATGTCCACCAGTTTAAACAGCTCTCTTCTGGAATCACCCTGTGGCTGGCTGGTGCGTGCGCAGACAAGTTGGCAAACTGCAGACCCGAGAGACCTGCACTGCTGGGGATCCTGCACCGACCTACAGCTTCCTTCAAGAAATTCCACAGTGTGTGCAGCATGAGGTCAGATGTTTCCATTCAAGATCACTCCACAATCAGGGCCACATTTATGTGGGACAGATCAATCATATGCCTGTGGGGATTGGAAGAGACAAGTTACCACACACTCTAGGACAGCAATCCACTAAGGTGCATGGAAGGGAGGGCCTGATGAGCAAGACCTAAGGGGTATGGAAGTAGAAGGGGCCTCTCCAAACAAGGAAACAGTTTACAGAAAGGCTATGGAACCTGATCTTGTTCTGCACCTTTGTACAGCACTGCACTGCACCCTCCTCTTCCCCAGTCACCATTAAAGAACACGGAGGATACCTGTGGAATTTCTGCTGAAATGCTAGTGCGTGGGCCGGCTCCTTGAACTTCGCTATGGCTTTCCGTTGCTGAGGAAGCATCTGTAAACTCTAGAGGAAGAAAACAAAGACAATTAACTAATGCCAACTGTGACATAAAATAAAACACGTCATAAGTTTCTATATAGAATAGGAGTCCAGGCTGTTGGCTCAAACATGAAAATAAGTCACCAGTCCTCCTTGGTCTCCCTGGGCACCTGTACAAAGCAGTGTTCCTCAATCAGCTGGGGAGCAACATGTCCACCCTCTAGTACGATACAGGTAACTACAGGTGCAAACATTTCTTTCCCTGTGCCTTTTTGGAAGGCAACTTTTGATGGTGCTCTCACCCATCTAAAGAATGGCACTCTGCCCTATTTTACCACAGAGGATATGGGTTCTGGGCATGCACTGGGGTGAGCTGGGGGCCCTGTAAAAGAATGGCATATTGAGCTCCAGAGCCTCGGCTCACTCTCTGTTCTACAGACATAGCAGAACTGTCTCCCAAGTCAAAAGCTGCACACTGAGGAATGGTGAAGCAGGGATCTTAACTCAAGACAGGCTCCACAGACTGCTATCTCACAGCTCTGGCCAGCTGCCTTTCTGACGGTTAGTGTGCACTGAGAAACAAACTCACAATTGCTAGGCATTTCAATCTAGTCTACAGAACTACTAGAACAAACAACTAAGCTAATACAGAAAATGAAAAAGAGCAGTATCTGGCCAGAGGCAGCAATTAGATGCCAGGTATCACTACATGATGGCTCACACCCAGTGCTGGCTATAAGTCATGGTCACTAACCCACATGAGGAGTCACTTTTTGTTCTTGGATACTGGAGGCTCATGGGGTAAAAATTTTCTTCTGAACATAATTTCAGGCAGAGCCTAGCAAACAGATTTGTTCTAACAGAGGGGCTTCAAAATTACAATGAACTTATCTCCTTGGCTCTAAGCTTTAACTTAGCTCTGCTCTCTCTCAGAACGAGGCCCACATGTGTCTCTTGCTCTATCTTTCACTAGTCTCCTTTGGTCTTCTGGAACTTATAGAGCATTAGCAAGTAGCACGCTAACTGAAACCAGTAGTGTCTGTGGGGTCACTGCCCCACCAAACACAATTTTCAGGTCTGTTGGGTACTAAAACATAGTTTACCATCACTCTCTCTTGAGTAAAAGGCTTGAACGACCAGGTGTCCCCTTGGCTCACACTCAGACTAAGTCAGTGAGCACTGGATACATTACTGTACATTAGCATATTAACTGCTCAGCCGTCTCTCCAGCCCTGAGTCACAGCTCTGCTCATCACATACTGCCAGACTTTGTTTTGTCTTGTTAGTACACACTCTGAATCCCAGCATTTGGGAGACAGAGGCAGCTGGATCTCTGAATTTGAGGCCAACGTAGTTTACAGAGCCAGTTCCAGGACAGCCAGGGCTACCCAGAGAAACTCTGTCTTGGGAAAAAACCCAATCAACCAATCAACCAAATAAATAAATATTCAAGTAATCCTACTCAAAGTCATTACCCTGACCTAAGACCAGTAGTAATATGCTTCCAGAATGAACAGGCCTTGGTTCAGCAGTCCCTAAGGGACTCCCAGGGTGGCACACAGCACTTAAACTTCTATTTCATCTAAAGGGCAGGCATGTGACTGGTATAACCTAGATACAAATAACATGCCATTTATCAATAACAGCATTCTTTCTGCTGGGGATTTTAGGTGAACACAATAAACTTTATTTAAAACACAATTACTATTTTCAGAACACACACACACCACACACTGCAAATAAAAGGGAGATGGGGAGATGGGGATGAGCCACTTAAGAGATCTATATTAACCCCAAAGTCCCACTCAACATGTCTGCTGGGGATCACCAAAGTCAAGAGAATACCCAGGATTGCTTATGCTGAAGTCAGAGCCCATGGCATCAGTACTAAAGCTGTCCTCGAATGCAGTGCAGAAAGCCCAGAAAGTGAGAATCTCACAAGACCCAATTATAAATGTCACTTCTTCAGCAAGCACCTGGGGCCACAGTGTACAACACTGTTAAAATCTGGATGGCAGGGCCATTGTGCAACCCAGAGTCTTCAACTAGTTCTTATTTTGACTCTCTGGTTACAATAACTACATGTTAACATATCTATAACCTCCTATAATTAACTTTGTTCCTACAAATAATCTATACTACAACCGACTACTCAGAAAGCATCTTTTTAGACAGTTTCAATATATACCCCTTTTCAGAGAGTCTCAATATATATCCCAGCTAGCCTCACCTTGTGTTCCTCTGTGTGAGAGCCTCTCAGTGTTGGGATTACAGGTGTGTACCATTACAGTAGCTAAAATCACTTACCCTTAAAGACAGAGTGTCCAAACAGCTAGCAAAAGTAGTAGTCAAAGTCTAAAGATTAACCTCTCAATAAAAAAGACGAAAATAAGTTCAGCAACCTGTCTTAAGAATCCCATAATAAAAGGTGGCTATAATTAAACTCAAACACCTAAACACCAGGCCCAGTTTTGGAAAGCTTTCTCTTCTCACTTTTAGACCTCTTAAAAATAAGCAGACATATGTCTGTTTGAGGAAGGGTCCTTCCTTCTGAACTATATAACCCTGGCTGGCCCATAACTAGGCCAGAATAGGCTGGCCTCATTCTCAGGGGTCCTCCTGTCTTGGCCTCCCAAATGCTAGGGTTAAAGGCGTGAGCCACCACACCCAGCTGTAAATGGGAATCTGAAACATCTTAGTGAAGCACTAACATTAAAAGAATTGCCTTTGTTCTGCTCAGAAACGTGACATTCCCTGTATAGCCTGCATTTTCCACTGGCCATGCACAACTCTGAAGACCACTTGCTCATAGCAGACATGAAATAGTGTCTGTCTCCATCCTTCATATGACTGGTAACAAGCTCAGATCTGCCATTTTCAAAGGATATGACCACAAAGTGTAAGTTACTGCTCCATCTGTATTCCAAATGCTAAGATAAGCACCAGAACTGTGAGTGTGTGATACGGCTTCAGAAAGTAACACAAAGAGGCTAATTACTTGAAAATTTGAGAAATTATCACAAGTAAAATCTGTTAATACAAAAACATATAGGTACGTGTACACGTGAATTTTAGGATAGACTTTGTAGGACCCCAAAGGGCTGCTATACCCTGACTGAGACTTTCCGTGTGCTGCTGTCCACTAACTAACATTCTGTGGTTCCTCTAAGATCAAAACATCCTAAGGCATGGTGCCCCAGGAAGGGAATTTACACTTGACATCCTATTGCCCCCCAGTTGAGTTCCTGTTTTTTCCCAAGTTTGTGTGTTTCCTTCCCTGGCTTGGTGTATATATTGAACCTGCCCAGTAAAGGCACTAGCATTGTCTCATAACGGATGACCCGAGTCTGAGTCTTTCTTTAATCCCCCAGACCTACACCCGAGTTCCGCACCCCGCAGGCAGTGCCAGAGCTGTCAAGTGGAGGTTCCACCGAGATCAGGAAATAGAGGAGAACCTGATGGGATCGTTCCTAGAAGCCGCCAGCCAACGGAATGAATTGGAGAAGCGGCAAGCAGCGCTACGTGAGTGTGAGCTTTGATGGCACCATGGGGATTTTAAGTTCCTTCCTAGGAGTAATGGCACAGGATGATGCAGGTAAGAAATCCTTGTATGAGGTGGAGAATAGCTCCAGCTCTGAGGATGAGGAAGAAACTTTAGAAAAGGAAATAGCTTATTTAAAAGAAAGATTAAAGAAACGCAAGGTCAGAAAGGGAGCAGATTGGAAAGGGGAGCGACCACCTAGTAACAACCCTTTTGTGGACTCTACGGAGGCCACTGCTCCATGATGGATGCTCTCTGAGGGATTGGTGGACAGCAGAGCCCAACCCTAAGAAAGGGGTGATTTTTTCTAAAACAGGTTCCAATCATGCTTATCCTGTAATGGAAGTCCCTCACCCTAATAACCCTGGGCAAATGCTTAGGCAGCATGTGCCTTTGTCTTTTAAGGAATTAAAGAGCCTTAAAGAAGCAGTTTCCTCCTATGGGGCTTTGGCACCCTTTACTTTGGCAATTTTTGAGACCTACAGCGCCTTTAATTTAACACCAGGAGATTGGCAGCAACTATGCCTTGCGACGTTGAGTGGGGGAGACTATTTACTGTGGAGGGGAGACTATCAGGAGCAATGTGTTAGCTTAGCAAGATTAAATGCACAGGCAGGGCAGCCCCAGAGAAATCTGGAAATATTAACTGGATCAGGACAATATGCTGCTCTCCGTCAGCAGATTCATTATGATCCTGCTGTTTACGCCCAAATTGCCGCTGCAGCCGTTAGAGCCTGGAAAGCCTTGCCTAAATTGATCTCCTAGCAGCTGGAGATCAACTATCTAGGGTGGTCCAAGGACTGTCTGAGCTCTTCCAAGATTTTTGTGAACAGACTACTCCAGCTAGCAGAAAAATTGTTTTGGGACACTGATACTGGCAGGCCCAGAGTAAAACAGTTAGCCTTCGAAAATGCTAATAAATGGTGCAAGGAAGCCATTAGACCACACAGATCAAAAACCTTAGATGATTACATTAGAGTTTGCAAGGAAATTGATGGAAATTTTGTTATGGGACAAGTACTTGCAGCTGCCATGCAAAAAGCAAGAATAAAACTTGCTTTGAATGTGGCCAAGCTGGGCATTTTAAGACGGACTGTCCAAGGAACAAGGGGATTACGGGTCCTGGCCTGTGCCCTCGATGTCAAAAAGGCCATCATTGGAGTAATGAATGCAGGTCAAAATCAGATGCTGATGGCTCCCCTCTCCCAGCTTTGGGAAATGGTCAGCGGGGCCGCTCCGGGGCCCACAAACCAAAGTGTACGGAGCCATGAACACCAGTGTTACCCCTACTCCAGTTCAGTTTGTGCCTCAAACCAACACCTTTGTGTCAAAGACCTTGTCAGAGGTACCCCAGGAAGCACAGGATTGGACCTCCATTCCTCCGCCAGAGCAGTACTGACACCTCAGATGGGCCCTCAGGCATTAGGTAGTGTATGGCCCCATCCCTTCAGGGAGCGTAGGCCTGCTCCTAGGACGCAGCAGTGCATTGTTGAAGGGAATTAGGATCCTTTCGGGAGTGACAGACTCAGATTTTACTGGGGAAATTAAAATTATGGTTACTGTGGATAGGGGAGTTGTAGTTATTCCCCAGGGAGATAGAATTGCTCAGCTAGTTCTCTTGCTGCAGTTACCCACTAAACATGCTGCAATCAAGGATGCTAGAGGTGACGAAGGATTTGGATTCACAGGGACTGCTGCCTTCTGGGTTTCTACCCTAGAGGACTGCCCTACCTTTACCCTTTGGGTGGATGGAAAGCCTATGAAAGAAATTCTGGATACTGGTGCAGATACTACTGTGATATCTAAAACATCTTGGCCTAGTAGCTGGTCCCTGGATAGGTCCTCTTCAACCCTACAAGGAGTGGGGACAGCTGCTGCACCCCTCAAGAGCAGTAAGATCTTAAAATGGCTAGATGAGGAAGGATATGAATTATTACAAAAGGGAATTCGTTCTCAGAAGTTACAGATTAGAACAGATACTCTGAGAACTTTAAATGATTATCAAACATTTTTAGGAGACATAAATTGGTTGAGACCTTCCTTACAAATAAGCACAGGACAGTTAAAACCTCTCTTTGATATTCTTAAGGAGATGCATCACCCACTTCCCCCAGACAATTAAATGAAGAGGCCAGAGAATGCCTGAAAATGGTACAGGAAGCTCTGGAACAAGCTCATTTAAATTATGTAGACTACTCAAGGAAGCTGTTATTTGTGTTTTTTGCATCAAAACATTCTCGAACAGGTGCCTTTTAGCAGGAGGACCCTATTTTATGGGTTCATTTGCAAGCTTCACCCTCAAGATTGTTCTATCTTACCCACAGGCAGTAGTTTCCTTGTTGTTTAAAGCCCATGAAGTAAGCCTACAAACATTTGGTAAAGAACCAGACATGCTTATTACTCCTTATAATAAGGATCAGATCCATATTTTATCTCAAAATTATGTTGATTGGGCCTTGTTTGTTTGTACCATTAACAGCCAATTCGAAAATCATTATCCTGATAATAAGTTGTGTCAGTTTTTTAAGCTCCACTGGGTGGTTCTTCCAAAAATTATTTCCAATCAGCCCTTGAATCAGGCTCGTCTAGTATTTACTGATGGATCCTCCAATGGTAGGGCTGCAGTTGTTTCCCAAGGTGGAGTTGAACCTTACAGATGACCAATTGCTCTGCACAATTAGCATAGCGAAAGGCTGTACAATTGGCACTATCTTTGTTCCCAAATGAAGCTTGCGATGTACATACTGATAGTGTATATGATTCTCAAATTATGGACCCCTTGGAGACTGCATCTTATGTGGCACCTGTGTCTTCGATTTGTTCTTGCCTATTGCAGGTGCAAGCTCTTTTATGGCAGTGAACTTTGCCTCTGTTTGTGGGTCATATTCGGGGACATTCATTGTTGCCAGGCCCCATGGCCCAAGGTAATAGTGAGGCTGATTTTCACACCAAACAAATTTTGCTTGCCTTAAATTTAGTCACTAATTATGATAAGGCTGTTGCTATGCATAATAAATTTCATCTTAATGCAAATTCCTTGAAATTTCATTGTGACATTACCAGAAAACAGGCTGTTCAAATCGTTACTCACTGCCCTCACTGTGCGCAGTTTATCTCCTCCCCTAATTTGGGAGTGAATCCCCGAGGTCTTGCACCCAATGATATTTAGCAAATGGATGTTACACATGTTCCCTTGTTTGGGAAATTACACTTCGTTCATGTTACCATTGACACCTTTTCTGGTATGATTTTTGCCTCGGCTCACAGTGGGGAAAAAATAAAAGATGTTAAGAACCACTGCCTACAGACATTTGCCTATTTGGGGGTTTCCTGTCAAATAAAGACTGATAATGGCCCAGCCTATGGTAGTGTGTCCTTTAATAAATTTTGTGATGAATATAATATTACCCATAAGACCGGGATTCCTTATAATCCACAAGGCCAGGCTATAAGTGGAAAGAGCACATTTAACTTTGAAAAATTATCTTGAAAAAACAAAACAAGGGGAGTTTACCACACCTCATGCAAGATTATCCTTTATTTTATGTATTTTAAATTTTTTATTAGTGGATAGTGATGCACTGTCTGCGGCAGACAGACACTGGAAATGAGCCCAAAAGGCACTGGGCTTAGTGAAATGGAAAGAATTGTCATCAGGTGTATGGAAAGGCCCTGACCCTGTGTTAGTCAGGGTGAGAGGTTCTGTTTGTGTTTCTCCTAAAGATGCTGAAGGTCCTGTTTGGATTCCTGAGTGTTGTGTGTGCCCTGACACTACGCAGCCTCGCCCAAGTGGAGACCTACTGGAGCCTTGTGAAGAACCCCCCAGCTCTGATGTCAATGGGGATAAGAAGCTTGACCTCGTCAGTCATAGTTCCCACCAGCCAGACCACTAGAAAAGCTGATGCTAATTTTGAGAAACCAACAATTTCTTCATGTTACTCATCAGTTATTAATGTTACTTGTGTACAGCCTCTCTATGGAGAGAAGTTTCAAGCAGGACTCAAACTGGCCAGAAGGCTCCTTAAAGGATGGGCTAGTTGTCCTTGTCTCTGGGAGTCCTAGTCTTTGGGGCAGCCACAGCAGGATTGATATTTCTTTGCTGCTTTCACAGACAGCAGATCCAGTCCCAGGCAGTTACTAAGCAGGTGCTCATGTTGCTGGCAGGAGAGAACCCTTCTGCCCAGGTTTGGCTCAGCCTTTACTGAGAATAGTAGATGAGTCCTTACCTACCTAAGACAGGGGCCCTGAGGCTGGCAGGGATTCCCAATGACGAGTAATTGGTATTGATGGAAGGTGACCTAAGACAGACACTATTCGCCTATAAAATAAAAACAGAGGACCCGTAGGACCCCAAAGGGATGCTATGCCCCGGCTGAGACTTTCCGTGTGCTGCTGTCCGCTAAGTAACATTCTGCGGTTCCTCAAAGATCAAAACATCCTGACTAAGGCACTGTGTCCCAGAAAGGGAATTTATACTTGACATCCCATTGCCCCCCAGTTGAGTTCCTGTTTTTTCCTGAGTTTGTGTTTTTCCTTCCCTGGGTTGGTGTGTGTGTGTATATATATATATATATATATATATATATATATATATATATATATATCGAACCTGTCCAATAAAGGCATTGGCATTGTCTCATAACGGATGACCCGAGTCTGAGTCTTTTTTTAATCCCCCAGGCCTACGCCCAGGCTCGGTACCGCAGGCAGCACCAGAACTGTCAGACTTCATAGGACAATTCGTTCTACTAAAGTATTTACTTCCTAAACTTTGTGAGGCAGGCACTAGCATCTTTCTTCTTGAGTACCATCTTACTACAAATGTAACCCACAATGGCCACTGTTCTGGAAAGATCAGCCACTGGCATTGTCACCACATGCAGGCAACCCACCTGGATGGGCCCCACGGACATCAGCAGGCTCTTCAGCTGGACATCAGTGGTGGATGAGGATAGGCCTTCCACGGACACCACACAGGGCTGTGGCTTGCATTCCACCACTCGAAGGTTCTGCTTATTTGGCATTAGTCGTCCCCGGCCCATGGGACCTGCCACTCCTCGGCCTCGTCCATGCATGATGGCCTGGCAATGACAAAGAAGATGCATTCTGACATCTGAGTGGATTCTTCCTGTAGTGACTAATAAAGTACAAAAGTAAGAATGTGTTCAGGGTCCCTCAGGGCATGCTGTGAGCCACAGGATCCTCTTAGAGGGTGGCCTAATAGGTAACCAGGGCAATACCAGCAAGTAGAATGAGGCTAAGGTGGAAGTCCCAGAGTTGTGCAGCTATATTTGGAAGGGATTCCGGCATTACTTACATTCATGATACAAGCACAGCAAGGCTAGGACACTGGCAGCATTAGCACAGGGAAGGGTCATATCCTATCCTACCTGTCCCAAACAAACACTTCTCCTACCATGGCACAGGCCAATGGACATATGGTATACACAGGGTTAAATCTGCAACTGTAACGAGTCATCTGGGATTCAACACAAAGTGGGAAGGTTTATATTTATCATCCTCAAACCTTGAAATAAGACCTCGTCTAGCCACATGTGACAATCACCTCCAGAGCTTTCACACAGTCATACACCCATCTGCCAGTAAAAGCACCGTCGTTCAAAGCTACTCAGGCCTCCGAAGCACAGTGAAGAGCCTTCACTGTAGAAAGGCTAGATGGCTGGCATTTCTAGCATTTTTAACTGGTGAGGCAATTAAAAAAAGAATAGCTAATTCTGAAGTTACATAGCTAGGCGTGCAGACAGTGGAACCAAAGTACACTGGACGCCACCCATGTCCTACCCTAATTCTGTCCTAGCACTTGGTTTAAAGGAGTAATCCACCATACCCCACTACCTCACAAGGAAAGGCACAAAGCCAGAGTTGATACTCAGAATATGTGAGGGCACCACAGGAATGTAAACCTAGAGGAACACAACTAGAGGTCCATCTACATAAGGTCACTACTGTTCTTGTAAGGCAGACTCTGGAGAAATGAGGGGACAGTTCAAGGACTCACAGGAGACATAGCAAAGGTGAATTAACCAGTTTGCTGCTTTTATCACAGAAAGTCACATTATGTACACGCTGGTATAGATTTCAGCCAGATACTAGGTTTTAATATAAAGTCTTATAAAAAGTCTCACAATAGTTCCAGCAAGTGAGAGACACCACTGGCCTCTTAATGGAGAGCTAAGGAGTCAGAGGTGAAACCTCTTCTAGCAAGCCCACATTTAATTCTCTAAAGCCACGTTCTTCATATAGCCAGAGGTTAGGTCTGAAAGGCAATGTGGTCTAGTGCAGTCTGTGAGATCCATCATTTTATTGCTGGACTTGACACTAATGTGTACATCTGCCTGCTGCAACAATTGAGTCATCTATGGGCTCCTATCTCATTAACAGTGTGAGAGACAGGACATACAAGGTAAAACAAACACTGTACCAGCAGACCCCACATCTAAAGAGGGGCACAACCTGAAACATTCTCCTTCTGCCTGGCCTCACCTGCACCTCAGACATGTGCCACTGCTGTAGAGGGGACTTTGTGTTCACCCACTTCTGACAGTTAGCTAGAAAGCTGCCTTTCTCCCAGAAGCTGAGGAACACACACTGGAACTTCTGTCTGCAACATGACTAGACTGGCTTCCTCAAGAAGGGACAGGGAGCCTCTGGGCTCCAGGCCTCCCACTTGGCAGGCTGGGCTCAGAGGAGATGCCCTTCACCTACACCTTTACCTCCACAGGGCCTTGTCTCTATTCCTTAAACTGAGGGGTGATTAGACAGGACGAGCCCGCCTCCAGTTCTCCATTGGGAACATTTCTGCTATCAAGAGGGTGAGAGGAACAGAGGTACCAGTGCTGTCTGTACTGGGCAGTGGCTGTTCAAAAGTGTAGGGCAGCCATACTCTCTAGTTGTACCACTGAGGAAATGAGCTGAGGGAAAGGCTTTCTAAACCAGGACTAAGAAAACAACAGCTCATTTATTAATGTGAATACTAGCAAGCACCAAAACAACCACCTAATGCCACATCCTCTCAAGCAGCAGGCCAGGCAAGCTAAAGGGGCAGGGCCTTTCCACTTCAGTACCTTCTTGGCTGGGTGAGTCCCTTGGATGCTTTTGATCCCTGGAGGAATGGCTGGGTACATGTGCGGCCCCACAGGAAGGAGCTGGGGCTGCTGAGGAACCCCCTTGGTCAGCGTCACCTTGCGAGTAGGCTGCTGTCTCATGTCTGGAGGCTGCGGAAGCCGCTGGGGCTGGCCTTCTGTGTGTGAAAAACCATCGCTCTCTCCTCCCTGCTGAAATCAACAAGGCAGCAGGCAGATCAGTGTCTGCCCACTGTTCTGGTCAGGCATTGGCATCCACTGCCAGTGCTGACCTCCAGGCAGAACCTTTCAGATAGAAATAATGCCAAATCTGCCTCTTCCCTGGAGCCAGTAGGGAAACTTCTCATTGGGCAGTGGTTAGGGTTTTAAATATAATATTTTTGAAATTTAAAGCACTACATTTTCTTTTAACAGATGTATCCATTTAATGAGGCTGCAATAAACACAAGTACTGTTTAATTCATACTGGTTATATTGTAAAACTACTTCATTTTTTTATTGCCAAGAATACTCCTGTTGAAAACTGACAACCAGTCATAACTTTGTAGTTGTTGTTCAAACCCACCACAAATGAAAAAGCTGCCTGGCTCCAGGGTCTGCTGCAGGAGTTCCTCCACCTGAGATCTATACCACTAGCAGGTTTCACAGTCAGCCAATGCCAGAAGAAGCACATGTGCTTGGCTAAGAGCTTTGGAAACATGTAACATGTGCTCTCAACTCCAATGGCTCTTGACCACAAGACCATGAGGAATGACCATAGGCATGCCCATGTCCACTGAACTATCAAGCAGCAGCAAAAAGACAGTCTGTGGGTGAGGCCTATGGGCAACCTGCAGTCTTCAGCAGTGTTTCAAAGAACGACTGGTGAGTGGGACAGAAAGAACAGATGACAAGACTTCTGGCCCGCTACATTATGCAATCTTAGTAGACATGGATGCTGGCCCTTGAGAAGTGGCTAGTGTACTAGTCCTCCTCTTGATGTGAAGAGGCACAGACCAGGTGATGGTTGGTAGCCTTCCCACACAGGGTATACAGCCATGAGGGTAATGGGTGGTGACTTAGCAAATGATTTCAAAAGAGGTACATGTCTATATCCATCTCATATTCCTATGCAGCTATAGAGGTGGATTATAGTTTATCCCCGCCAAAGCCTTTCTGAAGTTTAACTGCCCGTGCAGTAGTACGTGAGGTCATAAGGCCTTTAGAAGGTGTTTTGGTCACAGGGACTCTACCCTCCATGAAGTGATTAATACAGTTCTGTGAGAATGGGTTAGTTAAACCAAAAGCTGTCAAACAGCACCCGGTCTCTTACATCTCCCCCCACCCCCTACCTCTCTTCTGCAAGCATCTGTCTGACTTTCTCCTATGAAACCCTCACCACAATTGGGATCCCGGCTGCCATGCTCTAAAATTTCCCAGCCTAGAGAACTATGAACCAAAATTAACCTCTCTTCTACAACCAGCCTTTGGTATTTTGTTATAACCACAGGAAAAAAAGACTAAGAAATCTCCTAAGTTATCTTTTAGAGACCACTTACTGGAAGAAAGGAGCCTTCAAGGAAAAGCAACCAGTATAACTATTACCCAAGAAAAGATAAGCTGTTACAAGGGGGCAGAGCTTTGACCTTGGCAGCATGCAGAAACTGGCAAGTCTGGTCTCCCTAACACTGCACAGACTTGCAGAACAACCATTTTGGGGCAGTGGAATCAACACAGTGAAAGAAGAGGTGATGGAGCACCGTTTTCCAGGACCAAGTGTGTATGTACTGTCACCTTCCCCCAAAGGACTCAGCAATGATCTCAGGACAAAACTGGATGGACCAATGGGACCCACAAGCTTCTGGGGCTGTGGTCCTGTCTGAAGACTAAAAGAGCCCCAAGAGCCCAGGCATTTTCCTCATGGTGCCTTGGGGGGTAGGGGAGAAATATGACCTGAAAGGCTAAGCTATGCAGTACTGGTCCAGAACTAAGGAGGACATGGTAAGAAATAATGATTAAAAAAAAAAAAATCTAAAGTGAATCAAATTCAAATATTACAGTTATTCCAAAAAAGGAAGGAGAACAAGTTAAGATCTTAAGAGGAACCAACCCTACTTCCAGACAAAGGAGGAAGGGGACAATGAAGGTCACACTCAAGAACAGACACAGAGAAGTCACTTCTCTATCAGCCCCACAGGCTACTCTGAAAATAGCAAACACCATACTCCTTTAACGATCCTGACTAAGAAAAATAAATGGGCAGAGGACAAATGTTTCAAACTGGAAAACAGAGGGACCGAAAAAATGCAGCTCAAAGCAGTAAAGAGGATGTTATGAACATTATGCTAGCATATCAAGTCAACTCATATGAAATGGGCCAATCCTATACAAACACAGACCCAAACTGGCTCAAAAACCAAGGAGCAAAGACTAGAGGTCTAAGGAGCAAGGAATTAACAAAGAGACATTTCTCACAAAGAAAAAAAAACACAAAACTCCATTCTCCCAGGGGATTCTACCATAGTGCTAGGGTAAAAATGTTACCTAGTTCAGTCTTGTTCGGGGGTGGGGGGGGGGAGGAGAATGGGAGGCCATGTTATGCTGACCTCAAAGTCACCAACATCAAAAGGAAAAGGCACCTACTAAATAAAGAACTCCATCAGAAACACCCAAAAACCTTTATCAAGATGTCAGCTGGTTCACTCTAGGAAAACAAAAAAAAGCATCTCACACCAAGGTCATTCAACTCTTAACTAGTACACCATAACATGATACAACTAGACAGCCAGACCCAGCCTGAGAGGTGTTGGGCCCAGTGAGGGCAGGTAGGTCACTGGCTCCTACAATAGGTGGCTATGTACTGAAATTTAAAAACATTTTACCATGGAAATTCTCCAATATGTACAAAAAGAGATAACCAAATCACATTCATTCATTCATCATGTTTTGTTTTTCGGGACAGTCTCTTTGTGAAGCCCTGAGTGGCCTCAAACTCAAGGATCTGCCTGCCTTTGCCTCCTGAATGACGGGCTCAAAGGTGCATGCCACCACCACCTGGCTTCACTTTTTATTTCTGAATCAGTTATATTTTGAAAAAAGGAGGCACTTAGAATAGGCCTTGTCCACCTGGATGCATCTCCTGTCCCCCAAGGACAAAAACTTCTGAAAGCTCTTGACAGGCAAAGGGCAACAGCCTGACTTTCTGAGAACTATGGTTCTATGAGGAGTTTGCCTTTCCACATGCTTCCACTGAGTGGAAGGTCAATCCTGGACTTTTGCACAATGAAAAGCTAATTTCAGGCAAAGTTTCTGGCTCTCTGGATTAACACTAGTAGAAAACGGGCTTCTGACAGGAACACATTTTTATATCTAGAGTCATGCACATAAACAAACCTGAATGAGATTCAAGACAAACTAAATCTAACCTCTCTCTTGCTTGCTGTGTCCTAGTGAACTAGTACACCTAGTTACAGTACTGAAAAAGGACCTATAAGTGTTAGTCTCTACATCGCACACGTTTTAAATACTGCTGCTTCAAATGAGGCATCTTAGAAATCTATTGCTGAGATGTAAGCAAACCAGCATCCCTGAGTAGATGGCAGACGGTGGTCCCATAAACAAGCAAGTCTGCAGGAAGAACAGTCTTCGCAGGCAGCATGGTGCATACTGTAACTTCCGGCACAGCAGTTTATCCAAAGCAGATGAGGGGCAAGAAGTTGTAGCCATCATAACCACCAGGTAGACACATACTATTGAATTGCTCTAAAATGATTGTATTTTAATGAATAAAATAAAAATGTCCCTTTTAGACTAATGTTTGGTTTTTAAATTCTTATCTGAATTAAGTAAGCTCAGGGAATACTTTTTATCAGCTTAATCTTACAAAAAATGAGGTTTGTGGCCATCAACATTAGCAGGACAAATTTATTTATAACAAATGGTTTAAATGTACAGATAAAAATGCCCATTGACACTGTCAGGGCTTCTTGCAATTTGACAGATCAAATCTTATTTTCATTCTTTAAAGCCCATGAAGAAGTGATATCGCTGAGTTGCATTCACTAGCAGGCAAATTGATTAATCCCTTGCCATAGAACCTCAGCCCTTGATTATACCTATCAGGCGTTAAGCAGCATTATTCTGGAGTGACAACACTTGACAAATTCCCCAATCATTTTCCTCAGCCTTTGTGGCCCTGCTAGCTTGTATTAACCCTGATGAAAAATTAATTTTCCTTATCTTCTTCTAAACCCCAAAATCCAAATCCGCCAAACTGGCAACTCTTTCTGTAAAGGTATTATGAAAACCTCTAAAAGATTAATTGCATGTCTTCAGGTGACATTAAATTAATTTCTATACTCATGACAGACATTTGATACTCAGCACTGAAAGGACAGATAACATTGTCAGGACACACAGAAGGACAGTGGTGTGGTGTCCTAGGGCAGCCTCTTATGAATTCTCCTTCTGATAAGTTCACACTTCACTGTCACCAGCAGTGTAGACGATGGTGCAGCCACAGACCTTGCTGCACAGGTTTCTATTAAGGACAACAATACAGGCCTATCCCAGCAATCCCTAGGAGGCTCGTTTGGGATCAGCACAATAAGTGGTATGCAAGCTATGCAGAGATTCTAAGTCCACATATGTGTAGAACTCTACGTTCTCTCTGCAGACTGCTAGACTACATGAGAAACAGGACAGAAATGGGTCAGTCCTCCTCCTTGCCCGGGTGCAGCTGTGGAATGTAAGAACACCTTATATTGATCAGCCATGCCTACATACCAGCAAGCACACTGGGAACAGAAACCTGGAACATTATTTCAGACAATGGGTCTGGAGAGCAACTACAAACCAAATCCAAACGATGAAAGCAACTTGAATACCCAGACCTAACTACTGGGCTTCACTTATGGGGATTCACTTAGCACATGTGTTCTACTTCACCATACGGGAATGTGGCAGTTATTCAGGTGCTTACTTTGTAATAATCCTCCCTTCTGAGATTAGTTAGATACAATAGAAGAATTAGCTAGTCTTTAAATAAAAAATTTTTAAAAAAACCCACCAAAACCTTAAGCCTCTGAGGAGAAACAACAATGTCTAGGGCAGATGGCACTAATCTAGCAGGTGAACATGAAAGTGTATTTTACAAGTGAGGTTCTGAGAGCGTTGCAATATGGAAGCTTCCTAAGCAGTGGGGCTGGGAACTG